AATATATGAAATTATTTATTAAAGTCAAATTCAGCATAGGTGAATTGCAGATTTCGTACAAAAAAGTTAATTTGTCTGCAAATTTATCTATGGTGCTTCCTCCTGAATAAGATTCTTAATATATAGAGTACAGTTTTAATTAAATTATAACAAAAAAATTAAAATACTATTTTAGATTAACAAATGTAAATTCAGCTTAGCTGAATTGAAAATTTTATGCAGAAAAAGTAAAAAGTTTGTAAATTTAGCAATTCAGCTTAGCTGAATTATGTAAAAATATAATATTAGTAGCAACAATGTTTGAAATTTGTTGAAAGTTATAAAAATGAGAAATTATATTCTAATTTTGTTTTATAAATGAAAATTATATCTAAAACCTTAGCTGAATTACTTGAATTTTTAGCTGAATTGCAAATTATTTGCAGAAAAGCTAATTAGTTGGCTAATGTAACTATTCAGCTAAGCTGAATTGGTGATTTATCAAGTTTCCGCTAGATTCATTAAATAGGAAACAAGGAAAGAAGGACATAGGTTTACAGATTTCCTGTGAATATCCAGCTCTTTGTTTAGTTGGGTACAGATTTATAAAGGAAGTCAATGAGTTTCGGTGACTAATACTGCCCAAGACGCTTTAGATATTCAAAGTGATGTGGATCAAGCAAACTCAAGTTTGACCAGATGTTTGTGTTTTTTTTTTTTCATGATAATTAATTTTTTCAATCTTCCCTAAAATCAAGGATATCCTAATGTGTGTATTATTGAGAGTATTTACCATATATGTGAGCTGAAGTTTTACTTCTTTTTCCGTCCTCAATATTTGCAGTTGTGTTTATAAGTATGTGTAGAAGTGTTTGTGTATTTGGCGTAATGAGTCTCTAAAGTAGTCAAGAAAAGTCATTTCAAGTACTATAAAAGAACAAGAGGCTTTATTAGTCGTTAAAGACTTATCACACACATAAACTACTACACATATGTATGTACGCACATACATACATATCCCTACAGTTTGTTGTTACAGTCCAGAACTAAATAGTTTCCCAAACTTTTGTTTGTTTGTCTCTAAAAATATAGTATCTGAGTGGGACTTCCTCAGAAAACTACTGGGATATACATGTGTATACATACGTATGTTTCAACGCAACTATCAACAAACTCTTAAAACACATACATATGGACATTAAATCTCTCACACACTTTCATACAAACACATATGCCAGTGAAAGTACAAACCCAGCAAATTCCACCTCGACTTGAGAATTACTTTAAATAAAGTTTTACTCTATCTTGAGCTTTAAGATAGCAGTTTCAATTTAACATTTATTTATTAGTCTAAAATAAATTAACGAGTAGGATGACGACAACCATAGGTCCATTGCAGTGAAAACATACCAGAATTTTTAGTAGGAATCGAACCCACGACCCTCAAACTGATAGACTAGCACACTACCAACTGGGACATCCTTAAATTTGGATTCTGAAATTATAATTTTTATGTTTGCTGGGTATGTAAAAGTGTCTTTTAAAGACATTTAATTTTATAAGGTTTGTGCTCTTTCTGCATTCATTTTGAGCTTAAAAGATGACAACAATTTCGCAACAATATATGTAGGTATATGTTTTTTTAATTTCTTTACAACTAACAACAGCATTTTAAATATGCCTTAATTGTTTTTTATAGTTTTTATTAAAATTAAATTTTACTAAATAATTTCGTTTAACTTTTGCATGGGAATTGGGATTTCTAATAATATTAAAATCTCTGAAGAACACTTAGGTATAGAAAATGTGCAGAAAAGGTTAAACTTTAATTGAAAAAATATTATAAACAAGTAAGAGTATTCATTAAATTATATTCGTCTATGCCGTAAAAGGAATGTTCCCCTACAAACATCAGGGTGATATTTGGAATTTTGGCTCGTTTAAATTTGTTTGTGTTGAGCTTCATCGTTATATTTGTATTTTTAAACCAGTTATGCGCGTAAAAGTCATTTTCTAAAGGGGACCTTACATGGGAGTAGGGTTAATTATAGACCGATCCTCAAAAAATTTGTTTAAGAGATTTTTTTTCATCGATATACTCGCGTTTTTTTTAGCCAGTAATGAGCGCTAAAGTAATTTTTTGAAAGGGACCTTATATGGAGGGTAGGTAGGGTCAATTATGGACCGATGCTCATAAAATTTGTTAGAGAGATTCTTGTTCACATGAAACTTATTTATGCCGATTTTCATTGCTATGTGTTAGAAACGGGATGAAAAAAAACAATATACCCCCATCTTTTTTGATGGTGGTTATAAAAATCCATTTTTTTTTAAATTTCCTAATAAAAAGATAAATTTTTAGAGAAATACTGTAAAAAGAGAAAAATTACCAGAAGAGTAGAGAAAATTTTCTATAAAATTAATAACTTTTAGAAAATTTTCCATAAAAAGAGAAAGATACATTTTCCTAAAATTTTTTATAACAGATAAATATTCCGAAAATTTTCTATATAAAGCGAGTAAGAGTTTTCTATATAAAGAGATATTTTCGGAAAATTGTCTATAGAAAGAGACATTTTCAGAAAATTGTCTCTAGTAAGAAAAATGTTTGGAAATTTTCCATAAAAAGTGAAATTTTCGGAAATTTTTTTATAGAAAGGGAAAATTTCGAAAAATTGCCTATAGAAAGAGAAATTTTCAGAAAATTTTCTATGGAAAAAGAAAATTTTCTATAGCAAGATAAATTTTTGGAAAATTTTCTATATAAAGAGAAACTTCCGGAAAATTTTCTATAGGAAGAAAAATTTTCGGAAAATTGTTTATAGAAAGGAAAATTTTCTTTAGAAATAAAAAGAGAAGTTTTCCGCAAATGTTCGATAGAAAGAGAGACTTTCCGAAAATTTTGTATAGAAAGAGAAATTTTCCGAAAGTTTTGTATAAAAAGAGAAATTTTCCGAAAATATTCTATAGAAAGAGAAATTTTCGGAAAATTTTTCATAGAAATAGAAATTTTCCAAAAGTTTTCTATAGAAAGAAAAATTTTCGAAAAATTTTCTATAGAAATAAAAAATTTTCTATAGAAAGAAAAAATTTCGGAAAATTTTCTACAGAAAGAGAAACTTTCCGAAAATTTTCTATAGAAGGAGAAATTTTCCCGAAGATTTTCTATAGAAAGTGAAATTTCCCGAAAATTTTCTATAGAAGGAGAAATTTTCCCGAAGATTTTCTATAGAAAGTGAAATTTTCTGAAAATTTTCTATAGAAAGAGGAATTTTCCGAAATTTTTTTATAGAAAGAGAAATTATATGAAATTTTTCTATAGAAAGAGAATTTTCCAGAAAATTTTCTTGAAAAAGGGAGTTTTTCCAAAAATTTTCTAAAAAAGACAATTTTTCCAAAAATTTTCTAAAAAAGAGATTTTTTTTAAATTTTTCTAAAAAAATAGAACTTTTCCGAAAATTTTATATAAAAGAGAATTTTTCCGAAAATTTTCTATTAAGAGAATTTTTCTGAAAATTTTCTATTAAGAGAATTTTTCCGAAAATTTTCTATTAAAGAGAATTTTTCCGAAAAATTTCTATTAGTTAGTTAGTTTGAAAGGAGGATGTATATACATAAAATCCGAAGAAATACACCTAGGCCTCTATCGGGCCCGTTGTGCGCTCCTTAACCAGTGCCTCAGGTGGGAATCGAACCCACCACCTCCGGTCTACCAGACTAGAACACTAACCACTAACCTACCGGAGGCCACTTTTTTTTATTTTCTATTTTTTTTATTTTCTATTAAAGAGAATTTTTCCGAAAATTTTCTATTAAAGAGAATTTTTTCGAAAATTTTCTATTAAAGAGAATTTTTCCGAAAATTTTTAATTACATTTTTCCGAAAATAAAAAGTGAACTTCTCTATAGTTTAAATCGATTTTAATTGTCTCATTCACTTAATTATCAATTTTTTCGACTCCTTGCATTCTTTAGTAAATTTATTAAATTGCAATTTTTTCTCTTTAATTTCGTTGTACAATGTCTGTTTCTTTTTTTAGATTTACAACATTGCTGAACTCTATATTTTAAAAGGGTATATTTAAAATACCTGAATGGGTTTCGGGGATAATATAAAAGCATAGAGGGAATAGAGAGTAACACTGCTACACAAAGAAACATGAAAGTGAGTAAAGAAAAGTAACACAGTTTATAAATGTTCAAATTTCTATTAAAAATATACTGATCCTCTCAGAACTAGGAAATACAATTACCGATTGAGTTTCTGAAATAACTTCAAATTCACAAATCCTTGACGTCCAAGGACTCAGTGTAATATTTCATAAATCGCATCCAGCTAAGCTAAAAATATTTGTGTCGCCATATAAACCATAATATTTTTGGGCAATTCTTTTTTTTCGACATTTTCTTTTGACATTTTGGTTAAGAAGAAATTTCTAGTTTAGTTGTAAGTAAAATTGTACATGTAGTTACATATAAATATATGTATAAATACCTACATACTTATTTATTTATATTTTATAAAAGAGCTTTTTATGTAAAAGTACAATTTTCATTTTTTGAAGAGTTGTCATTCATTACGCTAGAATTAAGTTAAACAAATCTCAATTGAGCATATTTTTATGATTGAGATGATTTCTTATAAATTTTGTTTTTCTTCTATTTAAGTCATATTTTACTTATTACGAATGTCATAGGAAAAAAATAGAACAGATTTTGACATAAATGTTGTTTAGACATTTTATACAGGTCGTAGAACTGATAAGTGTTTTTTGTTGTAAGAAAATTATGAGAATTCGGTATTTTTCGGAGAAAAAATTAATATTTTCCATTAATTTTAACGACTTTTGGAATATTTATTAGTCTACTATAAGATAAATGATTAGAATTTAATAAATTTAAATAAAACTTGTAAACGATCTCTATTAAAAATGTTACTATGAATGGAATTCCCTTCTCATTTTAGTTCCATTTTCTTAAAAAAAAACTATTTATATTATTTAAACTACGTTTTTACTTACCCCTTCACGACCGCCAGAATCACCTTTGGGACCCTTCGGACCCATATCACCTTTTGGTCCTGGCATACCTGGACGACCCTGTTAAAAATTAAAATAATCAAAAGATTTATCAATAAAATTGTAGAAATATAAAAACCATAAATAATAGAGAACATGAGAAACCATTTGATTTTAATTTTCATTATCCTCATTTCCCCATTTTCAATTATTAGCATGTCCTTTTTAAAACTCTATATAGAATGTATGTTAGATTTCAATTAAAAAGAAAACTAATACATTTGTTGTAATGAAAAATGTAAAAAAATACTTGTAAAGCGCAAAAAAAGTTTCTTTATGAAAATTTCCAGAGGGTTATGTCAGCCGGCCTCTAATGTACTCTCATGATAAGGGGAAAAATTCATATTTTTTATTTATGTTTAAAAACCATTGAAATAAAACAGAAACTGGAATAAAAAAAAGTTTTATTTTTTAACATATTTACCGCTTAAAGCTGAAAGCTACATTAGTTGTCAGTCTGAAAATGTCCATATTGTTTTGAAGTTTTTTTGAGTACCCTATATTAAGTACACTGGAGAGCTGTTTTAACACAATATACATACTTAGAAAAATAACTGAAGTTTGACAAAATATTTTATAATAAAACAAATTTCCGAAAAATTTCTCTAAAGACAAATTTCATTAAAAATTTTCTATAAAAAGAGAAATTTTCCGAAATTTTTTTATAAAAAGAGAAATTTTCTGAAATTTTTCTATAAAAAGGGAAACTTTCCGAAAATTTTCTATAAAAAGGGAAACTTTCCGAAAATTTTCTATAAAAGGGAAATTTTCCGAAAATTTTCCCTAAAAAGAGAAAAAATGAGAAATTTTCCGATAAAAACTAAAAAATTTCTTTTAAAAAAACAGAATTTCCCGAAAATTTTCTATAAGTAGATAAATTTTCCGAAAATTTGTCTATTAAAAGAGAAATTTTCCAAAAATTTTCTATTAAAAGAGAAATTTTCCGAAAATTTTCTATTAAAAGAGAAATTTTCCGAAAATTTTCTATTAAAAGAGAAATTTTCCGAAAATTTTCTATTAAAAGAGAAATTTTCCGAAAATGTTCTATTAAAAGAGAAATTTTCCGAAAATGTTCTATTAAAAGAGAAATTTTCCGAAAATGTTCTATTAAAAGAGAAATTTTCCGAAAATGTTCTATTAAAAGAGAAATTTTCCGAAAATGTTCTATTAAAAGAGAAATTTTCCGAAAATGTTCTATTAAAAGAGAAATTTTCCGAAAATGTTCCATTAAAAGAGAAATTTTCCGAAAATGTTCTATTAAAAGAGAAATTTTCCGAAAATGTTCTATTAAAAGAGAAATTTTCCGAAAATGTTCTATTAAAAGAGAAATTTTCCGAAAATTTTCTTTTAAAAGAGAAATTTTCCGAAAATGTTCTATTAAAAGAGAAATTTTCCGAAAATGTTCTATTAAAAGAGAAATTTTCCGAAAATGTTCTATTAAAAGAGAAATTATCCGAATATGTTCTATTAAAAGAGAAATTATCCGAAAATGTTTTATTAAAAGAGAAATTTTCCGAAAATGTTCTATTAAAAGAGAAATTTTCCGAAAATTTTCTTTTAAAAGAGAAATTTTCCGAAAATGTTCTATTAAAAGAAAAATTTTCCGAAAATGTTCTATTAAATGAGAAATTTTCCGAAAATGTTCTATTAAAAGAGAAATTTTCCGAAAATGTTCTATTAAAAGAAAAAATTTCCGAAAATTTTCTATTAAAAGAGAAATTTTCCGAAAATTTTCTGTTAGAAGAGAAATTTTGCGAAAATTTTTTATAAAAAGAGAAATTTTGCGAAAATTTTCTATAAAAAGGGAAATTTTGTGAAAATTTTCTATAAAAAGGGAAATTTTGCGAAAATTTTTAACAAAAATGGAAATTTTGCTAGAAATTTTCCGAAAATTTTCTATAAAAGTAAAAATATTCCGAAAATTTTCTATAAAAATATAATTTTTCAAATATTTTCTAGGAAACTAAATTTTTCTACAAAATTATTCTACAAAAAGTGAAATCTTCTAGGCAGCACTTTTAGCATGTCCTTTTGGCCTGCCTTTTCCATCATTCTCATATACATATATAAATCTAAATATTTGTATATCATTCCATTTACAGGATTTATCCTGTTTTTAAGTTTAGTTAAAAGATTTCATATTATTATATGAGTGAATAACCGAAAACAGCAGCATCAACTAAGAGTAACAATTCAGCCTCCACACTTTATTTAAACATGAAATAAACAAGTTTTGTTGCCGCTAAAGAAAAAGTTTCTATATTCCTTTTCCTAACACAATTTTATAGAAAAAAAGTTGTTGGTTAGTTAATGTTGGAAAAAGTTGTTACCAGAGCAAGCTGCTGTAGTTAGCCCTCGTCATCATCATTGTAGTAAAACTATGTATTGTATAGCTACAACTACTTTTAGTTATAGTGATAGTTCTTGCTGCTGTTTCGGCTGTTGTTGATATTATATTTTAGTTGTTGCATATTGTTTTACAGTAATAGTGGTGTTTACTCAGTTATGGGGTCAGTTGCTGAGTTGTTGTGTTGAAAACATCAGTTTTTTTTTTTTTTTTTTTTCATTAATTATTTTTCCATATTTTGTGTGATTTTTTTTTTTAACTGTTTTTTATCACAGTAAATAACATCAAACTTGAGAGGCCATTGTCACAGTTAGTTATGGAGAGATTTTTTACTATGTAGTAAAAAGAAGATTTTCGTTTAAGCTGTTGAAAAGCAAAACTATGCATATGAGGAGTATAAACATAAACATATTTGTGTATGTATGTATGTGGGGTTTTTTCAAAAATGGTGATGTGGTATTTTTTTATGGTTAAAAGTTGAGGGATTTTTGTTGGTTTTTATGTTAGAAGTTAGTTTGATAGTTTTGAGTTGATTATGAATTAAAAAATAACTACTTTATTGGGATTTTAATTGAAATTGTTTTTTAAGCCTTTTTAGTCAAACATGCTTCTCAGTTCTCAATATGGGAAAAAAAGTGTATAAATTCTTTGCCACTTACCGCATGTCCCATTTCGCCCATTAAACCTGGTTTGCCCGGAGGTCCGATTGGTCCAGCTGTTCCCGGTTTGCCGCGACGACCACGCATTCCCTTATCACCTTTGTCACCTTTGGTGCCATTCATAGCCATGCCTTCGAAACCACCAGCGAAAAAGGCCTGTCCTGGTGGACCCTCAGGTCCGCGATCACCTTTCGGTCCAGCCAAACCACGCAAACCTTTTTCGCCTTTCTCGCCTTTTGCACCAGGCAGGCCGGTCAAACCGATCGAACCAGCTGGACCCGGCTCACCGTTCAAACCGGGTGCGCCATCATAACCGGGTGGGCCACGTGGACCTATAGGACCTGCTGGTCCGGCGGGACATGTACACTGTGTTGTATTCTGCAAACCAAACGGCATATCGGCATAGACTATTTGTCCGGCGGGGCCGGGTGGACCCATGGGACCTATCTCACCCGGCAGACCACGATCACCTTTGAGTCCAGGAGCACCAGGAGCTCCTGAAATACCTGGTATACCCGGTTGTCCTGGTTCACCTTTGGCACCGCTTGGTCCATGCGGTCCAGTGTGACCCTGTAAGGAAAAGAAAAAAAGAAAATTGAGTTTTTTTTAAATAAAGCTTTATCTTGTTAACTTTGTAAAATAACATTATTGTTAAGCTTAATATAAGTAATGTTGTAATATGCTTAACTTGTCCTTAAAAAAGGCGTTAAGCCAATTTTTTCCATAACGCTAAAATTCAATTTTCCAACATATACATATTTAGTTGCGTATACATATGAACATTTGTATATAGCAAAGGAATCAAAGCACTTTGGTTGTTGGCATTTTATAAACCCACTTTGCAAAAAAAAAAACATCAACAAAAAAAGCATAACATTATGCTAAAATTACATACAAACTTTTTTGTATGTTTAAATGTACAGTGAGTTGGATTGTATAAACATTTTGAGAAAAACCGGGTTTAAAGCTTTTTGAGAAAAATCAACTGGGTTATAGCCTATTATATAATTCAATATATAGTCTAATTCATAGTCTTCATTCTGGACTATATTCCAGTCTATAGTCTGAACAGTAGTTTAGTCTACAATCTGAACAATAGTCGGAACATAGTATGGACTATAGCCTTTAATATAATATGGATAGTAGTAACGTCTATAGTCTGGTCTATTTAATGGACTAAAGTCTGGACTATAGATTGTCTATAAACTGAACTATAATCAGAACTATGGTCTATAGGACTAAATTCTATCCATAGTCTACACTACAGCTTGGACTACGTATAATCTATTCTATTGTCTGGACTATAGTCTATTCTATAGTCTGTCTCAACTATAGTCTGGATATAGTCTGTAGTCATGTCTATAGTCTATTCCATAGTCCGGTCTATTGGTTAGACTATAGTCTATTCAATAGTCTGGACTATTGTCCATTCCATAGTCTGCCTGGACTATAGTCTATTCTACAGTCTCGAATATAGTATTGTCTATAATGTGAACTACAGTCTGGTCAATAGTCTATTCAATAGTATAGTCTATAGACTGGACTATAGTCTACACTATAGCATATTTTATAGTCTGGACTATAGTCTATTCTATATTCAGGAATATAGTTTGGAAAATGATACGGACTATACTCTAGATTACACGTTTATAGTCTAAACTATAGTTTAATCCTACAGTCTAGTCTATAGTTACACTATGATTTACTCTGTAGTCATGACACTAGTCCCGACTGTAGTATGGACTATGGTCTATAGTTTAGATTTTCAAATACAAAATAATACAAATTCAAAATTTTTATTTACCAAGCCCACTATGAATAAATTTCCAAGAATTAAACACAAAAAAAAAAATCCATATAAAAAATTCAAAATTAACCCAGGATATGCTTTTTGTGATCAACTAACTAAGCAAATAAGTTTAAGACAAAGTAGTACTCCATCCACTAAAAAAACAGACAAACAAAATGTTAGATATAATTTTTAAGTTTATTTCAGTTTATGAAATTTTTGTGAAAAGTTTACCTTTATTTTAAAACAACAAGAACACAACGCAGGAAAACAAAAGGGAAGGAAAAATTTAACATTTTAACCGCATTAACTTCATATAACCGTCTTAAAATTCTCTTTACACAAAAAACAACAACAACGACAAAATTGTTTAATAAATACACATGCAAACTAATTCTCTAACATACATGTTTAAATATTAACATAACCCTGTAGTTTTGCCAAGAGTCAATTTATCACTTTTAGTTGGAAGTTTTTCAAAAATCGTATTGTTTTATACGAATTTATATGTTTCTGACTCATTTGACTAGTTTGTGGTCTTTGTAATATTACTCCTAACATATCAGGGAATGATACACCACGACCTGCAGGATCATATAAGGTACATATGTGTATGTATGCATATTTTTCCTATATATGTATGTATGTTAGTGTCTGTCTGTGTATATTTATGCTGGCACATTCTATGGAAATTACATATAAAAAGGAAAACCTTTAGAGGAAGTAGCAAGAGCAAAAGGTACAAGTATTCAAATGTTACGGTTACGTCTCATAAGCCATCATCATATAAAATGAGTTGTATGCCATAAATCCTTAACTTAGTTGCGCGTTACGGGTATTTTTGTATTTTAATATATTTTGTTTTTTTCAGTACTTTTCATTCTATATACATTTATTTTGAGGTTATGCTTATAAGTTTAACATGTGTTTGTGCTGAATTAGTACAGATAAGGAGGACCTATTATTTTAAAGTATTCGACCAGTCCATGGACAACAAAGAGTGAACTTTTAAATCAGAAAGGTATTTGAAAATATTTCTTTAGAATTTAACTAAGAGGCATTTTTTCCCCGGTTTAAGTGCTCCTCCTATACCTTCGACCAGGAGGAGGGCTTTTAAATTATGGGGTATTTCGAACACCAGCCTTTTCTTGATATATGGACTCTTTGTAACCATGGACTTTGTATCCACTGCACCAGACATTAGTCTCGACTATCAATAAGTCATGTTTATCGTCAAGTCTAGACTATCAACTAGTCTATATTCAAGACTATCGACCAGTCTATAGTCAAGAATATCAACCAGTCTATAGTCAAGACAATCGACTACTCTATAGTCAAGACTATCGACTAGTCTGTAGTCAAGACTATCGGCTAGTCTATAGTCAAGACTATCGACTAGTCTAGACTATCGACTAGTCTATAGACAATCGACTAGTCTATAGTCAAGACAATTGACTAATCTATAGTCAAGACTATCGACTGTTCTATAGTCGAGACTGTCGACTAGTATATAGTCAAGACTGGTTTATAGTCAATACTATCGACTAGTCTATAGTCGTGACTGTCGACTAGTCAGTAGTCGTGATCGTAGACTAGTCTATAGTCGAGACCGTCGACTAGTCTATAGTCGAAACTGTCTACTAGTCTATAGTCAAATCAATCGCCTAGTCCATGGTTAAGACTATCGACTTGTCTATAGTCAAGACTATCGACTAGTATATAGTCAAGACCATCGATCAGTCTATAGTCAAGACTATCGACTAGTCCATAGTCAAGACTATCGACTAGTCTATAGTCAAGACTATCGACTAGTCTATAATCAAGACTATCGACTAGTCTATAGTCAAGACTATCGACTAGTCTATAGTCAAGATTATCGACTAGTCTGTAGTCAAGACTATCGACTAGTCTATAGTCAAGACTGTCGACTAGTCTATAGTCAAGACCGTCGACTAGTCTATAGTCAAGATTATCGACTAGTCTGTAGTCAAGACTATCGACTAGTCTATAGTCAAGACTGTCGACTAGTCTATAGTCAAGACCGTCGACTAGTCTATAGTCGAGACTGTCGACTAGTCTATAGTCAAGACTGTCGACTAGTCTATAGTAAAAACAATCACCTAGTCTTAGTCCTAGGGTTAAGACTATCTACTGATCTACAGTCAATACTATTGTCTAGTCTATAGTCAAAACAATCGCCTAGTCTATTGTTAAGACTATCTACTAGTCTATAGTCAATACTATTGTCTAGTCTATAGTCAAAACAATCGCCTAGTCTATTGTTAAGACTATCTACTAGTCTATAGTCAATACTATTGACTAGTCTATAGTCAATACTATTGACTAGTCTATAGTCAATACTATTGACTAGTCTATAGTCAATACTATTGACTAGTCTATAGTCAATACTATTGACTAGTCTATAGTCAATACTATTGACTAGTCTATAGTCAATACTATTGACTAGTCTATAGTCAATACTATTGACTAGTCTATAGTCAATACTATTGACTAGTCTATAGTCAATACTATTGACTAGTCTATAGTCAATACTATTGACTTAGTCAATACTATTGACTAGTCTATAGTCAATACTATTGACTAGTCTGTAGTCAATACTATTGACTAGTCTATAGTCAAGACTATCGACTAGTCTATAGTGAAGACTATCTAGACTGTCGACTAGTCTATAGTCAATCGCCTAGTATACAGTCAAGACTATCGACTAGTCTATAGTCAAAATAGTCTATAGTCGAGACTATCAACTAGTCTATAATTTCGATTATAGAATGGTGGAGTCTGTCGATTAGTCTATTGTCAAGACTGGTCGATAGTCGAACAACAAGTCCATAGTACAAACTAATCTGTAGCCTTTAATCGACTGGTATGTGTATATTTGAGACCATCGACTATTTTGTAGTCGAGACTATCTACAAGTCTGTAGTCGAGACTAATTGACTAATCTATCGACTAGTCTGTAGTCGAGGCTATCTACTAGTCTGGATTCTAGGCTATTGACTAATCTATATACGAGTATATAATCAAGATAATCGACAATTCTGCAGTGGAGAATATCGACTAGTCTGTATTTGATGCCGAACTAGTCGGCATATATATAGGATGTAGTCGATTCTAGATTATTAACTAGTCTCTAGAGGAGAGAAACGAAAAACAAATTATTATTAATAATAATAACTACCTTAACTTAAAATTAATTAAACTTGAATTATAGTTGAAAACAACTACAATTTGTATAGCCCTAATAGAATTATGTCAGTTTGTGTGAAAATGTGTGTATTAGACAACATTAGTATGAATGTATTATATATGACTAACATAAACTTATATTGACCCTTTTGCACTCAACTTATAGAAAATACGTTTAGAATTACATGCAATACAGACATTTAAAAGAATTAACGGACGAATTAAAAATATTGTTAAAACAAATTAAACAAATTAAACAAAACCGATTGATACTTATGTTGCAAGGTCTTCGAGGAACAAGAATATTTTATTATGAGATAGATTTTTTTCTATATTTTTATTTTGTTTAAATTTTCAAAGATTTTATTACTTAAAACTAATGTAAAAATCTAATGTGTTTTTGGATGATACTATGAATTTTCATTTACTACGAGAAATGTTATCCTAATACATACATATCTGTATGTAAATATATGGCAGTAGTTGTATTTGTGTATTTGTATGGACAAAAATACATAAACTATTTATGTATATATGTGTGTTTGGAAATGAAAACTTTACAAAAGAATATTGG